ACACACACACACACACACACACACACACACACACACACACACACACAGGGTTTTACTATGTAGCCCTGGCTGGCCTAGAACACTGTGTCAATCAGGCTGGCCCCCAGCTCATACTCCTCTGTCTCTGCCTTCTCAGTGCTGGAATTAAAGACATGTACCATTATGCCCAGTCTGTGTATGTGTCTGGGGCGTGTTGAGTGCCTGAGCTGTCACATCTGGAACTGGAAGTTATAGGCAGTTGTGAGCCAGCTGGCATGGGAGCTTGTTGTAGAATATTAACTTAAGATGCGTTACATTCATTTAAGCTGTGGAATAGTTGCTTAACAATACAAAGGTGTGTTGCATTCTTTTATGTTGCATTTGTTTAATTCTGTGAAGCTGTGGTACTTTAGCTGCCTAAGACAACTGATTGGCCTAATAAAGAGCTGAATGGCCAATAGCTAGGCAGGAGAGGGATAGGCAGGGTTGCCAGGCAAAGAATAAATAGGAGAAATCTAGGCTAGAAATGGATGCAAAAAAGGAGAGGAGTGAGAAAAGGTGGTGAGGAGGACAGCAGGGGCCAGTCACACAGCCGGTCACAGAGTGGGAAAGAAAGGCATATAGCATAAAGAAAGGTAAAAAGCCCAGCGGCAAAAGGTAAAAGAAGAGAAACAGGATAATGTAAGTTAGAAAAGCTGGCTAGAAACAAGCCAAGCTAAGGCCGGGCATTCAGTTATTAGGGAGCTGGGTGGCAGCCCCCAAAGAGTAAACAAACAAGCAAAAAAACAGCTACATTTCTGGGAATCAGACGAAGATCTGTGCAAGAGAAGAGCTGGACGTGATCTTAACCCCAAACGGTCTTTCCGGTCCTTGCTGTCATTTCCATTGAGCCGACTTCTCCTCTCTGCCCCAAGCTAGCCTCAAAAACCTTATGTAGCCTAGACTACCTCAGAGTTGTGGCAACCCTCTTGTCTTAGTCTCTTGTGTGCTAAGGTCTGCAGCACAATGCATGGCTCAGTCTTTCCTAGATTTTGTGTGTGCTGAACATCTTCCCTAACTTGGGATTAGAATTCTTTTCTTTGACAGGTTTTATGTATCCCAGGCTGGCCTCAGACTTGTTATTGTAGCCAGGAGTGTGATCTTGAGCTTCCGATCATCCTACCTCCACCTTCCAAATACTGGAATCGAAGCATGTGCCACCATGAAAGTTTTATGTGGTGCTGAGGATTGAACCCAGGGATTCCCGTATGCCAGGCAAACATTCTATCATCCAGCCACATTCCCAGCCTCCTAATTTAAGATTAAGACCCCATCTTTGACATATATTCACCTATGAATGCACAATGGTTCTCAGTGGCTACGTAGACCAATGTACAAAATCTGAGTTCCTATATTCTTCCCGGAACTACTCAGGAACAATAACTAGGCTATTTGAGGCATAGTGACCCAGGCCTATAGTCCCAGTACTTGGGAAGCTGAAGCCGGGGTGGTGGGGGGGGGGGGGGTGGTGGTCTTGAGTTCAAGGTCAGCCTGAACTACATTGTCACCAAATAACAAAACTTAGCATAAGCTAACTTTCTTAGCTGGCACCCTGAGCTTTAACAAACCAACTAGGTGATTTACATATTCACATATTCATCTTCTATTTTCTCTCTCTCTCTCTCTCTCTCTCTCACACACACACACACACATTTTGTTACTTTGAGACAGCATCTCACATTGCAGCCCAGAATGTCCCAGAACTCAGCACATAGCCCAGGCTGTCCTTGAACTTGTGATGATCCTCCTCCCTTTGCCTCCTGACTCTTGGTATTACAGGTATGTGCCAATACACCCAGCTTCTTTCTTCAGTGAACTCATTTGCATGTTAGTTTTGGTTCATCTGAGCTTTAATTTGGTGTATAGTGAGCATCACCTATGTAGTTCCCTCATAATTAATAGCCACTTGCTCCAGGACCCTACATTGAAATATCTAGTTTTCTCATCCCGTTGTCAGATTCCTTTTGCGGGGAAGGTTCGAAGAGGGAGTCATGAGATGCCCTTCATTCCCGCTGGCCTTCAGACCTGGGTAACTCAAGATTCTCCTCCACTACTAGGGTGGGGTGAACTGGATCAAGGCCTGGCATCTCCGCAGGTCACGTAAGGCCAGCTGCAGCCCCCAGTGGGGACGCTGGTCCCAGTTGCACCTCCTTGAAACAACCCCAGTTCTAGGAGTCTCCCGAACCCGTCCGGTCTCACCTCGCAGGGCCCCACGAAGAGAATCTTAGCCTTTAGCATCGCTATCCGTTATCGAGAACCCGCGGAAGCCCACCGTCAAAGCACGCTGGATCCCGCCGCGTCAGCCAGGAGGGCCACACGCTCCGATTGGCTGATCGGTTTCCACGGCGACCGGAGGACAGCTGCGCAGAAACCCAGGAAACTCGGCCAGTTCCGGGGTCTGAAACAGTGGTTCTGCTATGGAAGCCGAGGAGGACCAAAAGAGAAAAGCAAAGCTTGATCTGCTGACTGCATTCTGGACACTGGAAGGGGTTTCGGAATGGTCAGGCTCTAATCTGCTTTATTTCTCCCGGTCACCGTGAACGTTCCAGGGAGTGAGGGAGCTGCTAAGCTGGACTGGAAGCCAGACTGTGATTGTTTTTCTTTCATTCCTCGTACCTAATGTTGAAACCCGGGGTCTCATTCATAGGTGTTAGCCTGCGCTGCACCTCAGTCCAGCTCGTGCGGATTTTAAAAGGTGATTGTTGTTTTTCGTGGGTTGGTGCTGGAGAGTGAACTCGGGTGTTCATGAAGTCTTGGCGAGCACTCTGCTACTGAACCATACCCCCAGTCCAACTCTCTCTGTAGACCAGGCTGACCTCGAGCTCACAGAGATCCACTTCTCTGCCTCTGCCTCTCATCTGCCAGCATTAAAGGCGTGAGCCACCACTCTCGACCTCCAACTTTTTTTTTAATTTAAAAAGTTATATTTCTTCGCGCGTGTGTGCGCGTTATCGCTCGCATCTACCATGACACACCCGTGAAGCTCAGAGGCCCACCCATGGGAGTAATTTCTCTCCTCCCATCACACACGTTTAGGATGAAGTTCTGGTCTTCAGGTCAGATGGCACGGGACTTTATCTGCTGAGCCACTTGCCAGCCCTGCCATTGTTTATCTCGATGCTGAGATTGTTCTTGGCCATCCGGAGCTTCTCCAGCGCACTGAGGTGAGCTGCCCAAACCGGGTGCTGGGAACCTAACTCAGGTTCTCTACAAGAGCAGCAAGTGCTTTTAACCACTGAGCCATCTCTCCAGCCCCCTCTTTCATACTTTTGGGCACCATTATATTAGTCCCAGGTGGTTTGTTTTATTGCTTTTGCTTCATTGCGGCCTTATATTACATACATTCTTTTGCATGCATTAAAAAAAATTAAAAGTTTCAAAAGACCAGGGACCCTCAGAAAAGTTATTTATTCCTTTATACAACATGGAAAAATTGAAGGGAACTTTATGCTCCCGACTCCAACTTTTGGCGTGAAACTCTTAAGTCACTGGTCTGGGTTTTAGGAGAAATTGGTGCCAGGTCACTGGGGAAGGCACTCCCTTGAAGGAGTTCAGAGATGGAACTCCTTAGCTCCTTTCCCATCTTGAACTTCCTTTTCTGATGAGAGACAAACTATAGAGTGCATTTCCCCTTGCTAAGTAGATTCCCGTAGAATTGCTCATGCACTGTGTGTGTATGTGTGTGTGTGTGTGTGTGTGTGTGTGTGCGCTTGTCTCTGTGTTTCAGTGGAGCACAGAGGTTGACTTTGTGTATCTTTATCACTCTCCACTTTCCTAGCTTGGCAGCTCCCTGGGATCCCATTGCCTCTTCCCCCTCCAGTGCTGCCACTAGGCTTTTATGTGGATGCCAGGGATTAGAACTCAGATCCTCACACTTGCATGGCAATCTCTTCAGTCCCTAGAGTCTTGTTTTTATTAGCCTAAGCTAATCCCCAAAGTTAAGGTTTAATTTAAGGAACCCCCTGGTTGCTCAGGTTTGGAATGTTTGCTCTGCAGCTGGTGGTGCTGTTTTATGAGGTTCTGCAAACATTAGGGGACAGAGCCTAGATGAAGCAAAGAGATCAACAGGGGCGGGCCCTGCAGGGTATATTATACCTGGCTACACTCCTGTCTTGCTTTCTACTTCCTGGCCACTGTGTGTGGATTGAACTACCACCATGACAGACTGAACTCTTTGAGACAAAATTCTTTCCCCCCGTAAGTTGTGTGGTCTGGGTACTGTAATATGACATCAATGCAACTAACACACAAGAGGCCTAATATAAGGGGCCTGTGACTAAATCGGTAGCAGCAAGGAAGACAGAACCACAGGCTAAGAGCTCAGACACCCTCCCTCTCTCCCTTCTCTTTGTGTACATGAATGTGTATGCACATGCTTGTGTGTGCCCATGAAGGTACATATACATGTGTGTGCACATGCATGTATACAGTGTACAGAGCTAGGGGTACATATTTGGTGTTTTCTATACCTTTCCACTTTTTGTTTGGTTTTGTTTTTTGAGACAGGGATTCTTTGTGTAGCCTTAGCTGTCCTGGAACTCGCTCTGTAGACCAGGTTGGTCTCAAACTCATAGAAATCCACCTGCTTCTGTCTCCACAAGTTGGGATTGAAGGCATGTGCCACCACCACCTGGCATTCTCTACCACTTTTTAAAAAGATCTTTTAATGTTTATTTTATGTGTATGGATGGATGTCTTAACTGCATGCATGTCTGTGCACTGTTTGCATGTGGTACCTGAGGAGGCCAGAAAGGCATTCGATCCCCTTGGAACTGGAGTTGACTGTTGACTGGGGTGAGCTGCCATGGGGGTGCTGGGAATCAAATCCCAGTTAAGAGCCAGTGATCTTACCCTTGAGTCAACCCTCCAGTCCCTTCCCTTTAAGTTTTGAGACAGAATCTCTCACTGAACACGGAGCTCACCAGGTCATCTGGTCAGGAAGCTCCAGGCATCTCCTTGTCACTGCCTCCCCAGGCCTGAGACAATGGATGCTTGCCTCGGTGTATGCTTTTGCATGGCTTCTAGGAACAAACTCAAGTCCTCACGTTTGTGTGATACGCACCAACTCACTGAGCCACACCCCAGCCTTCCCATCTGCCCTTTTATGTGCAAAGATGCCCCGTTTCCTTTGTGTGTGGAAATGACTGGCCTCTTTTCTGCACCAGTCTAGTCCACGGCCCAGCCTGGGGGTTAGTTTATCACACTAGGAAGAAGTTGCTATCTTCCATCCTTTAAAATTCTAGAAAAAGCCAAGCGTAGTGTGCAAGCCTGGGTAATCCTGGCACTAAGGGGTAGAGGCAGGAGGATCAGGAGTTCAAGGTCAGCCTCAGCTATATAAAAGTTCAAGGTCAACCCATGCTGCACAAGACCTCATAAATAGGTTTTCTGTAACCCGATAAAAGGTTTCTTTGCCGATGCCGTAAGCCAGATCAAACCAAATTGAAAAAAGCAAAAGAACAGGTTTATTTGAGTAAAGCAACTCCCAGGTGAGTCCTCCAGCCCCAGAGATCAGACCGGAGAAGTCACACACCTGAACTAAAGCAGAGAGCTTATGTACCCTGTAGGTGAGGGGTTGATGGCACAAGCTGGGTTTGTGCCCAAGTATGGTCAAAAGCTGACAGATGGATTTAGGTGGGGTCTTGGGTTGCTGGCAGCTTCAGGGGAGGAACTGCCACAGCTGCCAAGAATGCAGAACGGGACATCTTGGTGCCTTTACTTTGAGAGCGGGGTGGGGGGGGGAGAGAATGGGAATTTCTGGATCAAGCAGGAGGGAGCTGGTGGTTCCGGCTGAACGCTCAACTCAAACAACACCTCCCCTCCCACCAAACAAATAAGGGGCTGTGGGGATGGCTCAGAGTGAAAAAAATCTGCCTGCCTCTGCCTCCCAAGCACCAAGATTAAAGGTGTATGCCTCTGCCACCACCTGCTTTGTGTTTTGAACATGTCCATATGTGTACACGTGTGTTTGTGCATGTGAGCGAAGGTGCCTGTGGAGGCCAGGGAGGGTGTCAGAGCTTCTGGGATTATAGGCAGTCGGGAGCGGCCTGATGTGGGTGCTGGGGACTGAACTCCCGTCCTCTGCGAGAGCAGTAAGCACTCGGAATGGCTGAGCCCTCACCCCAGCCCACATATCCACTTGTCCTTTACAAAGCATCTGAGCCAGTGGCTGTCACTTTAGTCTTGCCAAAGTGCTTTGGTTTTCTGTTTCCAGGTGAGAGAATTAAAATTGTGAAGTGTTTTGTTTTTCTTGGCTATATGCACTATTTAAATCTGGGATTATTATGATCATCATAAATTATTAAAATACTTTAAGGCTTTCATTTATTCTGATGCGGTTGACTTGCTGCAGTTTAAGACTTGGGCAGTGTGAGGGGCAGTGTGATGCTGGCAGGGACCAGGGCCGCAGGGAGTAAAACTCATTTCCCCCTGTTCAGTGATCAAGGCAATAAAATCTCTCACTTGACAAAAAAAAAAAAAAAGGAAAGGAATAAGTTTGACATATTTTAAATCCTTTCTATGAATTGTTGAAAAGATTTCATATAACCAGCAGTCATAAAAGTCTATCATTTGAGCTGACGCTCCACGGTCCCAATGACAACACATGCTATTTTTATGACCAAAGGAAAAAAAAAAACTTGTGGATTTCCTGTGACTCACAGGAATAAAAACGACCTTCAAGAATTTCTTTGTGCAACACAGAGGTTTTCAGTCTATCCACATCAGCTCTCAGCGATAAGAGTGGCCGTGTAGCTGTTTGGAACCTGGGTCTGTTCCATTCTCTACAAACATCTGCTGTTCTTTACAAATAAAGGGAAAGTGGGGGTGATGGGGGCACTGTCTTAGTCTGGATTTCTATCGCTGGGAAGAGACACCATGACCTCAACAGCTCTTATAAAGGAAGACATTTCACTGGGGCTGGCTTACAGGTCCAAGGTTTAGTCCATTATCATGGACATTATCATGGCAGGAATCATGATGTTGTGCAGGCAGATATGATGGAGAAAAAACTGAGGGTTTTATCTCTGGATAGGCATGAAGCAGGGAGAGAATGTGAACCACTAGGTCTGGCTTCTGAGACCTCAAAGGCCACTCCTTGCAATGCATTTCCTTCAACAAAACCACACCTACTCCAACAAGGCCACACCTCCTAATACTTCCACTCCCTGTGGACTTATGCTGGCCATTTTTATTCAGACCACAACGGGCGTGGCTCAGTGGTAGAGCCCCCGCCTAGAATCCCCCAGTGAGGGGCTGGGTTGTGGCTCAGTGGTAGAGCACCTGCCTAGAATCCCCCAGTGAGGGGCTGGGTTGTGGCTCAGTGGTAGAGCACCTGCCT